TTGTTGGTGCTTGAGCTTGGTGGTGGTTGAGCATCACGCTTCCCCATTTTCCAATCCTGGGCAGGCCCTACTGAGAGAAATACACAGAAAGGCTGGTCTTTAGCTTGGGGATTGACACATTTACCTATCTTCTGCAACACTTACTGTGCTTTCTGTTCTGAGCTGGTGCAGTGTGCTCTGCATAGAGCTGAGAGTGGAGGGCTTTAGAAACACAGTTTATTTTCCCAGCTGGCTGCTGCTACTGTGAGTGAGCTCTCTGCCCTCCTCCTTCCAGTCTGAGCTTGCTGAGTGATCTGAAAGACCTGAACAGGCGAGAGCGAGCGGAGCTGAGGCGACGAACTGTCCTACTGCTGTACTACCTGCTGAGATCTCCTTTCTATGACCGATACTCAGAGTAAGGGGCCCCTGCTGGGCTTTTGCTGAAAATTTCCTTTTTAACTGAAATAACATCAGGGGACTGGGTGAGTAGATCTGAAGAGGTCTGGGTGCCTCTGACCAGGTTAATCTGAGCCCTTGCATAACACTGCCCTTGCTGTTCATGCATTCAATAGCTGGGGCAGGAGGTGTCCAGCTGGACTTGTTCATATTCTCTCCCTTCTTAGGGGCAGGATCCTCCTCCTTCTGCGCTTGTTGGCTGATTACGTGCCTGGAGTTGGCTTCATCACACGTAAGTGGGTCCGGTCCCATTGTTATATCCCCATTTCTGTTGGTGAAGAAAAATGAGGGCAGTTGGGAACATTTGCCAGTTGGTTTCCAATCCAGGGAAGGAATTGCAAAGTCCCTAGAGTGGTTAGCACTAGTGCACCCTGTGTTGATGCTTGAGTCATTTTGAACTGGAAAAGGAAAGGATGAATTGCTTCCGGGTTTGATGACAGTAGTAAACCTCTGTGTGCCCTGAGGCTGCAGAGCTTGGTCTCTGCCACATAGCCTCTTCCCCTGTGCTTCCTTTCTGCCCCTCAGCTGGTTTACCAGGGCCCTGATTTGCAGCCCTGTTTCTGAACTCTTTTCCTTGATCTCTAGTGTGCAGGGCAGACACAAGGGGTAAGTGAGTGCTTGGAACTGATTGTAAATCAAAGGGCGGAACCAGGTCTGTGGTATAATCCTTCAGCATAGGATCCCTTTATTGTGGGCCAGAACTTCATTACCCCTCTTCCCTGATGATATGAATCTTTGTGGAGTGATTCATGGCAGTGATGTGACATTACATCAGCCTGTCATCATGGGATTGCCCTTTCTTTGGGGAGATCACAAAGCTGGCTAGCTCAGGAGCCGCTTCCTCCAGTTAGTGATTTCAGACAAGAGCCTGCTTAAGTCATGTGCTACATAAGCATTTTCATTTTACAGCAGATGCTTCTGTGTTTGCACCTGCTCTCTATTGCTGAGTTGTCTTCCCTCTTCCCTGTGTCACAGCAGTGCCCTCCTGACTCTCTCCATGTGGGTTTTCCCCGTGCACATTGTAGACTGCCTCCCCATTCCCCCTGGAGCTTGGATATGTCAACTCTGAGGGAGTGATTGGTGTCCCACACCATGGCCATGCTGACCATGTTTCACATCCCGCTTGCTCCTGGCACCACATCGCAATGTTGCCTTCCATCTTGGCAAAAGTAACTAACTGTTCTATTCTGGGACTCATCTGAGTTGTGGAAGCGGAGATTTGGGACTGTTGGGTATCATAATGAGAAGGGGGGATACAACTTGTAGACACACAGCTTCAAATTTTTGCCTTTCTACATGTGTGATCCCTCTGTTCTCTTGTTTCAGGGCCACTGATGGATTACTTGCCTGCTTGGCAGAAAATCTATTTCTATAACTGGGGCTGATGAGAAGATGATTATTCTCTGCTAAGATCATGGCTGGACCTTTCTAAGGAGGGCAAGCAGGCTGGGGGGAGGGATGTTGATAATGTCTAATTCTCAGTTAAACCATCAATGAGAAGCTCCTGTTCTGCAGGGTGGGGAGAGGGGGTGTATGTGATTTTTTTAACAGATCTAGCTGTGAATGATGGACACTACATGTGTGCAGAGACTCTGGCCACCTATTTCTTGGACTGTTCTGTGGCTGCAGTGATGGTGATGGGGCAATCTCTTTTTTTAAGCACTTGTTTTTTCTCTTTTTGTACAGCTGCGCTATAATAAAGCCAGGCAGCATAGTGAGTTTTTGGAGAGCATTGTCTCACATGTCAAGGCGCTGCAGTTGAACCTGCAGCCTGCTTGTGTTGGCTGTGCTTGGCCGATCTGCATGGAACAGACTTGTCTGTCAAATAAACTGACCGATTGGAGAGAACTGAGCTGAAGGGCCTCTCCCTCTTTGCGTGGGATCTCCTCATGTCTGGTTGCCAGCAGGTCTGTCTCCGTCAGAAAGAGCAGCTTTTGCAGTTGTCTACCCTGGGATATAGTCCCTTAGAAGCCTTTTGCTCTGGCCTTTGTCAGTCAGAGCCCCACATGTTGCTTAGCTGGTGACTGTAGCCTCCATAACTCCAGATGCCTGGTTCAGTCCCCAGATTCCTGGGTATCTCCTGGCGGTACACAGAGCTGCAGTGTGCAGGCTGCTTTCCTGGCACCTTATATATGCTAGAAGCTTTTGCAGAATGGCTGCCAGCCAGTGCTCAGGGGCTTGGCCAAGGGCAGAGAAGTGATTAATGCAGCAAATACTGCTGTTCCATATTAATCAAGGGCCCAGGAGAGGCCTGTATCTCCTCTGCTAACTGGGGGACAGTTGAGGGCACCAGCCTGTGCAGTGAGCTACTGTGGAGACTCCCTAGGCGGGGAAAAAGGGGTAGCGAGCTGGTGGCACTGGACTGCCCCACAGACAGCTCCCTGTGCAGTGCTTGGAAGCTGGAAATTGCCAGGTGTGTGTGCCCCAAGTGGGTGTCAGGAGCATTTCTACCTGAACCCTGCCTGAGGGATTCTGAGGCTGCAGGGATCACAGCCTTGTTGCCTCAGCACCCGAAACTGGGGATGTAGTTCCACATGCACATCCCTAATGGGCCACCACAGTTGGGGACCACAGGACTTTGCCAGTGTGTGTGGGGAGGTGGGACTGTGTTGCCACCTCAGCTGACAAGGCCCTGCAACGTGGCAACAGTAGCATGGAAAAGCCATGAGCAAGGGACTGTGCTCCCTTTGCTGGGGGTTTTAGCAGAGGAAGATGCTGAAGACTGCAGTCTGTGAAGTGTTAGTGGGGGTCACTCCTGGGAGGGACAAGGTGGTACTGAGATGAGATGCAACAGTGTTTTTGGAGTGGTTGAGAGGGAGGCAAAGGCAGGTGCTGACGGACAGGAACAGCCCTGGAGCTGTGGCTGCACAGAGAGACATGCACCACCACAGGGAGGGCTCTGAGCAGGTGGTGGGGCCCAGGCAGGACTAGGCAAAGGCAGCCCAGGACCTGAAGGTGAGGAGGTAGGAAGGGTAGCAGGAGCACCTGGGAGGGTGCTCCCACCCCTGCCCCACCCGGTGGGAGTCCTGGGCAACTGGGGTGGCTCCTCTGTGACCTCACTGCAGAACTGGTGGAACCTGTCAGTGTGCACCATGCTGCACTGGCTTCTGCTGCTCGCCCTGCTGCTGGGGGCTGCCCTCCCACAGCCTGCGCACCAGAGGTGATGGCATTTCCCTCCTCCTGCTCCTTCAAGCCCTGGTACCTGCAGAGGTACCCCCGGGCTCCTGACGTGGGTCTGACACTTGTGGCACAAAGAGCTTTAGAGCTGGCCAGGCTGGGTGGAAGACACGCAGCACATGGGAACTCTTGTGCCAGCCTGTGTAAGTGCTGTAGGACCTGAGCTCACTCCTGCCCCTGCGTTTTCCTCTGTAGGGTCAGCTACTCGGTCCCTGAGGACTTCTCTGCTCCCTTGGAGCTTCCGCAGAAGCACTTTGGCCTGGTGGATGGTACAGTGCTCTCTTTGTCACTCTGAACCTCCTTTCCATGCACTCACCCCTCCAGGTGGGCAGTTGTCCCTAATCCCAGGAGCAGCTGGGCCAGTGGCTCTGCTCTGCCCACAGATTACGGCATCAAACCCAAGCAGCCACGCTTCCCAACCCGGGCAGCCCGGGAGCGGCCGGCGGTGCTGCGCAGAGCTGGCAAAAGCAAGCGCGATGGTCTCGACTTGCTGGAGTACTACGATGATGCCCAGCTGTGAGCCAGTGTGTCCCCGTGCCCACCACAGCCCCCCAGGTGAGGGCTGGAGCAATAACCCCCAGAGGTCCCTCCTGATCATCATATGATCTCTGGCCTCCAGGGATTGTAGCCAGGGCTCTTGGACCAAACTCGAGAAGCTCCAGCTTCTTTTGGGGTCCCAAGGGAAGGAACGAGCCAGGGCCCCAACCGACTGAAGAGGGACACAAACGGCACAGTAGCTCCGTTCCATGAACCATCATATTTAATAGTTGTTGCCACCACAGCAGATCCAGCTGAAGCACAGAGACCGCTTGCTGCAGGGACTGGGAGAGCTCTGCTACCTCCCTGGTGCTTTGCACAGCTCCCTGCAGGCTTTAGCCCTTCCCTGCCCTGCTTTGGGCAGGCACCCAGATCTGTGCAGGGGCTGAGCCCCACTGCCCTGGGGTGCTCCAGCCCTGCCCCTGCCTCTGGCACCTGCAGCTGGGGGGAGAGGGGAAAAGGGCAGAGAAAGGCTTCCCTCCCGAGGGTATAGTTACTGCAGGGAGGTATGGGGGCATTTTTCTCTCTCCCCATGGCATGGATACAAGAAGGGAGGGATGGGGACAGAGGCAGGAGAAAGCTGTCTCATCTCATTCTGGCTCTGGCAGAGGAGATCCCATCTCCCAGCAGGAGCCAATGTGGGTCTTGTTTTCTGTAGCTGCTGTGTCATCATACTGCAAGAGATCGACTCTGCCACTGCAATTAAAAGTCACCCCAGATGGATGTGATGGGAAGCTGTGCCATGGTCACAAGGAGGAGATGCTGTTACCCCAGCCTGCAGCTGGAAAGGGCAGGAGCATGCTACTGCCCTCCCCAGCCACTCACAAGCAGGGCACCCAGCAGGTGCTTCTCCAATAGAATAAACTAAGAGTATTTTGTACAATAAACACAATTTCTCCAGCCCTCCCCCCTCCCATCCCCCCAGCCCGAGGAAGGGGAGTCACAAAAAGAGGCGGTGCTCCATGCCCCGGGGAGCCCTGCCCGGGCCCGCTCCTCCTTCAGGCTCAAAGCAGCTCTTGTCCATGCACGACCCGGGGAAGGGGCCAGACTGCAGCCCTGGCTGTGCAGGAGGTGCCTGTGCCAGCCCCTACTCCAGGTAGATGTCCTCCGTGGGGCACGTGTACTCCACATACTCCTTGTAGAATTGCTGAAAAGCCCTCCTGCAACAAGAGCACCAGGAAGCTGAGCAGCATCCTCCCCATAAGGCAATTACAGATCCCCACTTCCATCCTCATCCTAACACCCTACCCTGTAGCCAGTTTGACCCTCCAGCCCCCCGGTCCCTGGCCCCTCCTGCATTCACCCTCAGAGCTGCCATCAGAGCTGCAGGGTCTCCATCCTTGCTCTGATTCCCTGCACAGTGCATGACTTTAAGACATCTGCCTGCAAAGCCCTGACCTGGGACTTGTTCCAGTGCTGTCAGGAATATGATGCCTATAGCCAATAGGCAATCCTGGCTCTCACCCCAAGCCTCTCATTCAAAAGAAGAGGTGCCAGCCAGGTCCAAGCCCCATGCATATGGGGAGATGGAATTCAGCCTGGCTGCCTTGTTCCTCCTGCCCTTCGTGAAACAGCCTTCCCTGCCCAGCCAGGACTCACCCTACAGATTCTGCCAGTGGCTTCGTGGACTCCTCCGAGACGAAGACATGACAGGCAAATCTGTGGTCAGCAGGGTGCTTGGTGATGAACCCAAAATATCTGAGGGCAGAGAGAGCAGGTGTGACTGAACCAGCAGATAAGCAGGCACAGTACCCCAGCATCCTTGAGGTGTACCCACCCTTAGACATAGGGGTTTGGAACCTGCAGCCAATCCCCCTGGTGGCCACCAGCTGCCACAGCCCATGCCCAGAGCTGGGATGTAATGCCCATCCAAAGGTGCTAGGAAACCTTCTCTTTCCTTCCTAGCCCAGTCTTTGCTACTCTCAGTGAGCAGGAAGGCAGCAAAGCCTCTGCATCGCTGCTTCTTTGCTACTCACTTGTTGTTCTTTGGATGGTACCCACAAAAGGAAATGTTCTTCAGCTGGAAAAAATGGCTACACTTGTTTACCTGGGGGGGAGAAAGAGAAGAACTGTCAAAGTTTCCCTCCTCATGCCCCTATGGGGCAGCTGGTCTCTGGAAAGGTGCACTTGGAGACTGAGGAGTGAAATTAATTGGAGCCTGATCCTGGGCTGCTGTCAGCAGCAGTTTCAGGATTGCCCCAAGCACCTGCACAAAGAGAGCTTTTCCAGGCCTGCTGGCTCCCACTCCAGCTACCTCTACTGCCAGTAGCTCCTGCAGGGTTTCCCTAGAGGCCCTGAGTTAGACTGTACTCAGGCTAGAGTCAGCGCTGCTGTTCACAGCATACACGGCCCTTTTTCCTTGCTAAACAGGGTCTCAGAAACACCAGCAGATAGAAGGTGAATGGACAACTTAGAACTAAACAGGTAATTCAAGCCTAGGTATCCAAGGGGTCCCAACCAGAAATGAAAACTTATTTATACAAGTCTTATTTATAAATTTATAAAGTGCAACTAAATTGATAGCATCCTCTAGATACAGGCAAGACTTATCTAGAAAGAGGTAGAAACTCCAGCCCAGCTCTGTCACAGCACTCAGAGACATGAACTACTCATATCCCAAGCTGTAGGGGAGGTTTCTCAACAGCTTGCTGCAAAGCCCTTACTTGCCTCTGCTCAGCATCTAAACTAGCTTTACTAGGCTACTTATGCAGAATGCTAGTCAGCAGCCTGCCCTAGCCAGATAAAGAGATTACAGGGCAAATCTGGAGGACAGCACTCAAAATAGTAGCAGAAAGGTTTAAAAGCAGCTGACAGATTACTGGGTACAGCTCAGCTTGCAGCATCCCAGCACAGCGACGTGCTTGGCAGCTGCGAGGGCATCAGCTGGCAGTATTGCCAGAGCTGGGACCTTGTGAGGCATGGGGGACCCTGATGGTGGGCCTAAAACCCTGATGATGGTGGTTCTCACACCCTCACACGTGGGGTGGAGACCCTCAATTTTCATATGCAAACATGACCTATAGCACAGGGGCCACGACCCAGCCCAGAGCAGCCATCAGGGAAGGGATGAGACGAGCAGGGAGCGGGGCACTACCTTGCCGTGTTCCTTGGAGTCATCAGCTTTCACAGCAATCTTGACCCCACGCACACTGATCTCCAGGACACAGCTGGAGGGTGGGTTAAAGTGCACAGTGAGGCGGCGTGTGGTGGCAATCTGAGGAAGACAGAGAAACAAAGCCCTGAGACTTGTGAGCAGTGCTGATGGCTCACCCTTTCCCTTCCCCACTAAGGCTCTGCCCTGCTGCCACAAGGAGCAGGCGCTTCTGCTCCCGAGAATGGTGTGGGATACTACCTTCTGCATGGCCGCGCAGAGCACGTCATTGCCCTTGTGATAGGGAACCTGCACCGAGCCAAGGAACTTCACCCGAAACTGGTCCACCCAGTCACTGCTCTTGGCCAGAGCTGGAAGAGAGAGCACATGGCAGGGATCATCTCTAATGACCAGGTGTGGGCTGAGCTCCACCTCCCCTCTCCATCTTCCAACCCCTGCATGTTTCCCTGCCCAGGAAACACTTCCTGCAACACTAGGTACCAACACCCAGCATCACAGCAGAAGCTGCCCATCACTCCCTGCTGGGTGCCCAGCTTGGTCCTCCCCTGCTAGCCCTGCTCAACACCAGCCACTGCTCAGTGGAGAGGATGTGAATACAAGATGGGGACATCAGCAGGCTGCATGCAGAGGCTTGGTACCTGTTACATGGTCTGGGTCCTTGGTGACTTCAATAGCGTAGTAGGCAGGAAAAATACCCCGATCACCTGTGCGCATGTTGTAGGCCTCATACCAGTAATCTTCCGCCTGCACCTCCACCAGCAAGGGATCATCCACCTCCAGCTCCAGCTCATCCGCATGGCGAGGCACAAACCTGGGTAGAGAGGCACTAGCAGCTGGCCGGTGAACAGCACTGGTGGCCTTCTCAAGGGCACACTGCCGGGGCACCCACCACCACCCCAGGCAGGCAGCACTCTCATAGACGTAATGAGCCACCAGGACCCAAGATGCTAAATAAAGCATTGGAACAGGTTTAAGTTTAAAAGGTGGCAACATCCTGGCACCTAAGGCAAGGGTATCCCCTATTGCAACCTCCCATGCTGCTCCCCAGAGGTCTCAAGTGCCCCTGGAGGACTTGCCCACGCAGTAGCATGGGCAAATGTTGCTCCTTGGTAGGGCATGAGCTACAGGCACTGGTTTGTTCCCCAGGGCTTCCCACACTGGAAACACTGGGGCTTGTGCTAGCCCCACCTTGGTGGGAGAGCAGCACCAGCTTTCCCCTGCAAGAGGCTGGGGACACTGTTTGTGCCTGCAAGCTCACCTAAAGACGGCGCGGTGAGTCTGCTCCTGCTCCTCCCCATTGATCATGCAGGAGAACAACCCGAAGGACTCGGCACCTGCGGACAAAGGCAGAGAAGGACATCTCAGCATTGAGGGCTCAGCATCGCAGCCAGGGGAAGGACATGGGCCGGGCAGGCTGCTGAGACTCCTGCGGGATCTCAGCCAAAGCCACACAATGCCACAGGAGAGGGAGGCATGGCTAGAGCTGCCACATTGGTGCTCATCAGTCTCCGTGGGCGAGATGACCTCCCTGCACCAACTCACACAGTTCTGACAGCTGGTGTCACCTGCTGTGTGGGACAAGCCACACCATGGGACGCCCTACCTGCCAGGGCATGCCACCAGCCCTGGTGCTCTCCTAGGCTTGGGGATGAGGGTAGCACACCAGGAGGCTGCTCCCTCCAAGCCACACCAGGAGCCTCCCCCTCAGCCCCCTATGGCCATATCTTGGGCAAGCCAAATAGGCAGCCTGGAACACCTACTACCACTCCAACCTAAAGCTCACAAGGCTTTTCCAAGCCCCTCTCCCCCATGCCTTGCAGACCACCAGGGACAAAGCCACAGGCTGCAACAAGTAGAGCTAGGGCTCATGTCTGCTGGTGGCTCCCCATCTCCTGAGTGTGCCCTCAGCCTTGTACCAGGGATGGGCAGGGCTGCCCAGGGAAGCAGCCACCAGCCCATCTCCCCCGGTGTCCAGAACTCACTGGAGGAGCGTGCCCGTCCACTCATGAAGACATTGAGGAACTTCTTGGAGAAGTGGATGTCCGCCTCAGGGGTGGAGTCCTCAGAGAGGCAGACTGAGTCGCGCTTTAGTGCATCCTCCTCGTATTCCTCGCCAATGGCTGACTCATAGGGTGAGGAGATGCAGTTGTCATAGACTGTGGCCGAGTCACTCTCATCACTGTAGCCCGAGTAGCACTGCTTGAGGCTGACCAGCTCCAGCTGCACATTCTCATCCACTACCAGCGTGTATTTGACAGAGTCGTAGGAGAGGGCACTGGTGTCTGAACTCACTGAAGCTCTCTGAAGGTTGTGCCCTGGCCGGGAGCCACCACTCCCACCACCACAGGAGGCCCTGGGCAGGTTTGTCTTGTCAGGGGAGGACATGTAGTCCAGCACCTCGTCCTCCTCGCTGATGGAGGGGTTAGTTTTCCCTGCCAGGGCTGAATAGCTGGAGGTGTCAATGTCAGAGCTGATGGACATGCGGTTCTCACTGGACTGAGATAGGAACGGCTTGTCAGTGTCCAGGGGGTCCGAGTTCTTCTGCACAGGCGTCAGGTAGATCTCCTCTGTGGCCTCCAGCCTCACGTCTGTCTGGTAGCGGATGCGGTCCCGGTGGGCCTCGGGGCCCCTCGTCACCACCACCACGCTGGCACCATGTGGTGGGGCCCTGCTGGTGGCCTGGTGCTTCTCGGGCAGCCGGGACGAGGCAACGCAGGCTGGTGCCATCTGGGTGGCTGCTGTGCGCCGGCATGGGCTCTCTGTGGATGTACCCCGGTCTTTGGTGGAGGTTGTGCTGTTTTGGTGATTGACCTCATCACTCAGGCAAACATGGTCATGGGGAGGGGTCTGCTCACCTGTAGGGAGAGGAGAGTAGCACTGACAGCCCTGCAGAGGGTGATGCTCCCTGTCACGGAAGGTGTCCAGGGATGCCACCCAGACTCATAGAATCATTTAGGTTGGAAAAGACCTCTAATTCTTGAGTCCCAACTGTTAACACAGCACTGTCAAGTCCACCACTAAACCATATCTCTAAGCATCACATCTACATGATTTTGAACACTTGTAGGGACAGTGATTCCACCACTTCCCGGGGAGCCTGTTCCAATGCTTAATTGACCTTTCAGTGAAGAAATTCTTCCTAATATCCAATCTAAACCTCCCCTGGTGCAATTTGAGGCCATTTCCTCTTGTCCTATTGCTTATTACTTGGGAGAAGAGACTGGTACCCTCCTCACTACAACCTTCTTTCAGGGAACTGTAGAAAGCAAGACTCAAGATGGACATGCACCCTGTATCCATGTGGGATGTTTTTTCCAACCATCTCCTCCAGCACCACTTGCCTCAGGCTCCTGAGCACCATGAAAGGGTGCAAGGAGCTGACCCTGTCCAACAGCCTGAGAACTCACCCGTTTTCAGAGGGGACGATGACCGGGACACCCGCTCCTGCCAACTGTGCTTTTTCCCCAGAGAGTTGTTATTCAGAGTGTCCTGAGGAGAAGAACAAAGCTGCCTTATAGCCCAAACAGTAAACATTGTGTGGCACGGCAGTGGCACCCATCTCCCCCTGGGTCCACAACACACTGCTCAGCTCCCCTCTCAGCTGGGCATGCTGGGACACGTGATGCCCAGGGAGAACCCCTGCAAGCCCCACATCTCACCATGCTACTGCTGTGAGAGCTGGTGTGGTGGCCAAAGCAGGTTGGGCAAGGAGCCAGCTGGGCTGCATTCATCCACCCTGGGGATAGTTGGCTGCAAGAGCCCACAGCTGGACAGTTCAAGGACAAAGAGTCGAGACCCGAGCCTGCCTGGATGTTTTGCTCCCATTCTGCTGGCCTTGTTTACCTTTAGACCACCACAATGAAATCCCAAGGGCCAGGCATTGTGCTGATGCCCAGCTGGGTGCCAGCTACTGGATAGACTAATGCCTGCCACTGAAGACATCCATATTGGCTGTATATAGGGGTATACATAGATATGTATGTATGTATACAAATCTCTACATTCACACACACACATATGCAGTTCACTAACAGACATCAATCCTGATCAGCTGAAGAGGAGGGGCACGATCAGGCCGCCTGTACTCCCCGTGCTTGGGTGAGTTTCTGTAGGTGCTGTGCCCTGCCTGCCTAGCCCTGGGTGGCCGGCCACGCATGTGCACACCTGTGTGTGCATAAGGGAACTCGTGCTCAGCCTCACTGTGAGACCCAGGGACCATAAGCCACCAAGTCCCCTCTAATAAGGACTCTCCTGCAGATGGGGGACAAGTCCTCCCTGACCCACCTCAGAAGGATGCGACATCCCATCTGCTGCAGCCCCAGCCTCCGTCCTCTCCTCCATCCCCAAGTTCTCCCTGGTCACACACTCCCAGCCTCTCTTGTGGGGCACTGGGTGTTTCTGCCCCAGCTGCAGCAGCGGCATTTTCCATGTCGTTAGTTTTTCCTCAAGCACTAAGCCCCACTGGGACTCCCTGGATTTTCTCATGGCCTTATCGCCAGCCTGCAGCTGTTAGCAGCAGCGCAGGAGCTGCCCCATCCTTTACTTTGTTTCCCCATCAACATGAAAGAAGCCTTTGCCCCAAAATTCCATTATGTCACACACTGCTGAACCATGTCTGCCAGACTCCCTGCCTTCATGTGGGGAGTGGAGAGACTCCATCCACAGGGCTTCAGTGACCTCCCAGTGTGACCTCCATGAGTCCTTCCTGTGCCAAGGTAAATAACAGCACACCCCGCTTGCCTTTCCCAGGGACACGATGGGCTGGGATGCAGGCCAGGCAAGCTGTCACAGTGACAGCCTCTGCGTGCAAAGTGCCACGGGGCCAGTACACACAAGCCAGCCTTGCTGCCTACACTGGGACAGGAGGCAGCAATGCAGCATGTAGATCCCACCAAGCCCACCCATCCCACAGGGCCAGAGCACTCTGGGGTCTGTAATGCTAAGCCAGGGTAGAGAGGCATTCTCAAGGTCTTAGAGGATGAACTTAGCCAGTCACAACAACTGTTTCTTCCCCTTTGGGAAGCTGGGAATATTTCTCTCACCATTTCCAGCCCACCTGTCTGGGATGATGATCACAGAGAGCTCAGCAACAACTGCGATACCACTAGGCTGGATCCTGGCCCCACAAGGAGAAGCTGGAGCAGAGGGTGGGATGATGCCCTGCTTTGTGAACACCCTGCCAGACAGAGTGCCTGGTGCCCTGACTGGGCACGTGGCTATGGTCCCTCTTCTGACCACCAGCAGGAGGAGGGAGCTGGGCAGGCCAAGAAGGTGCAGGAGGGTCTCACTAAAGTGGAAGCAGATTTCAGGCTGATTGCCAAGGAATGCCCTGCACCCTGTCCTCTCCTTGGGGCACCACATGTGGGCAGGGAAAAACTGCCTCTGGCTAGAGGTAGGCATCCAGCACCTTACAGCCAGCCTCTCACTAGATGCTACCAAAAGCACTATCCTCCCTGGCCAGCCATGCCCCAGTCCTGTGCACCCACTCCTGCTGGCTCCAGGCTCCCGTTGCCAGCTGCAGCAAAGACTCCCTCTCCCATTCCACAGCTCAGCTGTGCCCGTGGCTCTCAGTGAGCCCCACAGCCTCCACCATCCCCTTGTGAAGCAATTATCAGCTCCCCCTCCCCAGCCTACCATCTCTGCAACTCTCTCCACCCCAATCCCTCCTCCCTCCCCACTGGTCTGCTGCCACCGCTGGACACTGTTTGGGACCTGGGACCGACTGAGGGGGCCCTGCTCTTCCCCATCCCTCCAGCTGACTGTGGCTGCCATGTGCCACCTGCTCCTCAGGGTCCCTGCATAGGGTGGGACAAGGCTGCTGCTGTCCCCTTGTCCATTATGCTCACTGGGGCTACCCCGCCTCCCCAGCCCTGTGGCCTTTGTCCCCGGTGCCAGCTGCCTGTGGGCGCCCATCCTTGGCTCTCTGCCTTCTTCCTCCTCCTCTCACCCGCAGCCTCAGGCAGTGAGCTGGCATCAGCTGCTGGTGCTAGGTTGGTGACACCCAGCTCCGACTACTCCCCATCTGTCACCCACAGGGACACCTGCCTCTCGCTTCATGCTCCTTGGCTGAACGTCACCACGATGAAAATCCTCCCACTTGGCAGAAGGCAGAGCTGAACGCAGGAGGGTGGCAAAAATAGCCCTGCACGTCGCACACTTTACGTGAGTTCATGAAGTCTGCAGGAGGGACAGGGCAAAGGGACTCCGGCCACTGCTCGGCGGGTCAGCATGTGGGGCACTGAAACACTTCCCACCCCAGGGGTGATAGCAATACCATGGCCACGGGGATAGGCAATCTTGGCTAAAATCATCCATCATCTCATACAAAATCTAAGTACGAGCGAGACAACAGAACCCCCTTGTCCTCCTGGCCACCATTTTAGGCGTTGCTTTTCTGTCTCAAATTTTGCACTGGGCGCTGACATTAATGCTTCTCTTGCCAGGCACTGCTGCTCAGGAGAAGAGGCCACCAAGTTCCCATTGTCAGGCTTGGGGTAGCCGGTGGCACCATCCTGCCCTGGGGCTGGCGCTGCCTCAGCCCCGGGCTGCTGGAGTCCCGCCAGCTGTTGGTGCCAGCCCGTGGCGGGGTGCCCCGTCCTGCGATGGCTCATTCACGCGTTCCATACGCCATGCCTCGTTTGCTCTCCATTCCATCCCACGGGGGCCCTTCCCAGCTCCCAGCCTGCCTCTGCCCCACGGCTCTCTGCCAGGACTCATGGGCCCTGTTGGGGGCACAGCTCAGTCCCGACACGATTCTTTGCCTATTTCCTCTCCATCTCGGCAGCAGGGATGCAAAAAGGACCTACCGGGCCCTAAGCCCGCCCAACCACACCCGCTGAGCTCAGTGCCGGGATGCTCGGCGGTGTGCGGGGGCGGCCTGGCAGGGCGTGATCAGGCTCCCGGGACCCCCGAGCCCACAGACTGCTCCCTCTGGCTCTGCAGCGGGGCCGAACCCGCGCTGTGCCCGGCCCGGGGACGCAGGCGGCGATGATAAGGGACCCCCGGATTGCGGGGGCGGCCGCTCCGCCGAGCATCGCGGGGACGGGTGGCGGAGCCTCTCCCCACCACCCCTCCAGCCGAGCCCGGCCGAGCCCCGCCATCCCCTTCCATCCCCCTCTCTCTCCGTCCCTCCCTCCCTCCGAGACAAAAGACCCCGGCGGACGGCGGGAGCATCCCTCCTACTCCCCCGCACCCCTCCACCCGTTCGCCCCCCATCCCGCCTTACCTGGCTGCGAGGCACCTGCGGGAAGAGGTTGAGAGTTGTGGGTCGCTTCGGCCTGTAGACATCGGTGGTCCCGGCCAGGGGGTCCTTCGGCAGCGGCTCGGGCGCCGTCTGCTCCTCGGCCGGCGCGTCCCCCGCCGCGTCGATGAGGTCGAGCTGGAGCATCTCGGCTTGCAGCCGGCTGGCCTCGCCGCCGCCCGCAGCCCGGGCCCCGCCGCCCGCCCGGCTCACATGGCCCTGCCGGGATTAGCGCCCGCGATCAGACCACGGGGCGGGCGGGCCGAGCCTCGGCCGCCGCGCCTCCTGCCGGGGCCAGGAAAGGGGGGCCGGCCCCGGGACCGCCGCATCGGCACCCGCGGCCGCTGCCTTTTAAAGGGGCAGCGATGTTATTCCCGAGGCCGGGGAGCCCCGCGCCCCCTCCCCGCCTCCAGGCGCAGGCAGTACCCTCCCTTAGGGATGGGGCCCCCGCGGCATCTCATCCCCGGCTGTTGCCTGTCTGTAGGTACGTGCAGCCGTCACTTAACCACGATGCGCACAAACGTGCACACCCAGGTTTCATTCAACATAATAAGGACAATTTTACGGTGAGAACAACCATTCAACAGAATAGCCTCCCCAGGGAAGTGGTAGAGTCCCTGTCGCTGGAGGTTTCCAAGACACCATTGGACAGGGTGCTAGTCAGTCTCACCCAGGCTCCCTTTCTCATACAAGGTTTGGCCAGGTGACCTTTTGAGGTCCTTTCAAGCCTGGGCTGCACTATGATTCTCCCATCCAAGGCACATTGTGCCCTTTCTCGGTTCCTGTCCTGGCAGCTGGGACTTATACAAGCATGGAGGTTTTTCTTATTGGAGGTTTGGGTCAACCCCTGCCTGGAGCAGGTCACTTGGGGTCTTGCCCATCACACCTGAATATCCTCACAGACAGAGAACACAGCGCTGCATTGTGTACTGGTGCTATGTGCTGCACTACTACTACTACCAATACTACCTTTTTTCTCTGGGGTTGAAATTTTCACTGCACATCTCTGAGAGGATCAGGCTCCTTCTTCCCTGTAATGCCCACCAGGCAGCTGGGACCAGGAATTCCATTCCCCTTGTCTTACCCACATAGAACAAGCCTTCTCTTCTTACCCACCCTGCATTTACACATATTGAGACCCAAAACTGTGCAGAAGGGATGCCTGATGAGCGGGCTCTCCAGTCACTTGCTAGTGGTAGCTGTGCTCTGGCTCAGGACAGCTCCACTCTCTCCCCTTCTGCCCTCTAGGAGCAGGGTGGCCACCATGGCCTGCGAGGGCTGTGAGGAGCAGATGCCCCATTGTGCCACCTGGGCTGGGCCCCAGTGCTGAGCCACCACACACCTTGTGGCTGTGTTGCTGGGCAAAGAGGCACCAATGTCCTCTCGCAGCTGCACATGTTTAAAGGTCAGTGGTTTCCTTCCCAAGCATCCTTCCTTGTATTAACTGGAGCTTGCACATGCACAGGTTGCTGCAGCCAGCAATAAAGGTGGCAACTTAGCATCAGAGAGTTGAATTCCCTGTGTTATCAGCTGTTTGTGGCAACTGGAAAGCTCATCAGCGGGCAGAGGTGGGGAAGGATGGTTTTTGCAGCCAATGGTATCCGCGTCTCCAGCTGCATGGAGGATGCCCCTTGAGCCATGGGAGAAGAAACAGACCCAACAGCTCTGGCAGCCCCTCCAAGAGCTCTTGTTGCTACCAGCTCCTAAACTGTCAGACAAAAGCCAGCACAGGCAGGGCTCTGCCTGCTGCAGACACAGTATGAACCCTCTCACGGTGGCCATTTCACCCCAGTGTCCTTGTTGTAGTCCTGGAGGTACTGGGTGAGCACCTGGAGAAGCACTGCCACCAATACTTGCCCTCTTGAGGCTTTAAATGTTTAAATCCCTTGTTTTGAGAGTTAGCCTTCATAACACAAGTTCTGTGTTTCTGTGGCACCAGTTTTCTGTGATAAATCACACGGATTTTAACAAGGAAACTGAGGCATGGGAAAAGAACTGGAGGGAAATTCCAACTGAATAAATTATATCTAGACAAGGTAGGTATATTGGAGTCAGCTGGTGATGTTCAACCTAGACTGCTAATGATGCTGCCTCAGTAATTCTATAGCTGTAGCAATCACTCAGAAAACACACAGAGAAGGGTAAGTCCCAGAAGGATGCAGAAAAGCAAATCAGTACCCGTTCTGAAGAAAAGGGCACCCTAGAAGGGATGCAGCACTCCAGGTTCAAAAGCTAGGAGGAAACTACACCACTGCAGGTACTTGTTAATGGTCTGTAGCTCAACAAAATGATTTTGGAATCACACAACAATCCATCACCTTACCATCTCAATGAACTCTGCAGTGATCTGCAAAGCGAGAGAAGGGACTAGATGTTGGGAAGCCTTTCTAACTGCAAAGACACTGCCCTACCAGAACATGCTGCCTTCGAAGCCCTCTAGGAACAAGTTAATGCCACCTAAGGTCAGCTTGAGCATGTTCATGCCTCAGCACAGATGCATCAGCAAAGTGTTTTCCCAAAGTCCCTTCACCCTGTGGGAGAGATTAAGGAATCTGGGAGAGCAGTACCAATGCCCAAATCTTGCAGCGGGATGAAGACAAGATGCATACCTGGACCCCAGTGCAGTCACAGGGATGCTCATGCTTCCTTACAGACCCATCCCTGGGACAGATGTGATGCTGGTGTGCTCCTGCTGATGCTACCTCCTACCTGCATGGTGCCATCCCAATGGCAAAATATCCCAGTGTCCAGCAATTGGCCTCTCTCTGATGGTCCCAATGCTGTGGCCCCAGGGGGCTGGAGCAGCATGAACCCTGATGCAATTGAGAGGTGCTGGGAGCACCAGTCTAGCTAGGGGAATCACCTGCACGGGAGCTGCTGCCAACCCTGGGAAGCTGCTTGCTTCCCTAGGAATGAAAGTCTCTTGCAAGAGGAGTGGGGTGATACACAAGATGTTGCTTGAGTGATCAAAGGCTCTTCCCTGCTCCCCCACTCCTGCAGCCTTAGCTGTCAGAGGAGGAGTGACAAAATCTTCAACTGGAAAAAGCATTTTATGAGCATGAGGAAGCAAACATGACTTGCTGGGCAGAGGGGACAACGGTGCCTCCTCTCCCTACCACCACCTGTGACTACTTTGCTCTAGCTTCAAAGTGCCAGGAGAAACCTCTCTACCCCCAGCCTGGCACAGCCACAGCTGGCCATGGATCACAGGGACAGCTTCACGGGACAGCCTCTGAAAAGCTGCCTGGAGTAAGCAGCCGCCTTACTGCTGCATCCTTTGCTCCCAGCCCATGCATCTGGCTCCCAGCTGGTCCCCAGATCAGCAGGTTGCAGGCTCATGGCAGCTGCTTCCCCCTTTGCAGTGGGTCCCACTGGCCTGCTGGGAACGGCTGCTGTTAGTGACACACTTGAATCAGTGATGCTGAACATCAAGAGAAAGCCCTCGGCATTTCCAGCAGTCTTATTATGCCGAAAAAACAGAATGTTTTGTTTTTAATCTCCACATAACTGTATGAAGATACATGGCTGGTTCAGGCCTTTTCATGCAGACCACAAAGGCTCAGCTCTTTTCCCTTTGGACACTTGTTCTTGTGCTCTCAGGTATTTCCAAGAGAGGTGTTTCACAATTTTTTCTTTTTCTTTTTTTTGTTTGTTTGTTTGTTTGGGTATTTTTTCATTCCTATATTAACCTTTTTCCACAGTTCCTGGAATACAAATGAGGCACCAAGCTTTTATTAACCTCTGCCTGTCTGTTTGCTGGGATCCATCTTGCTGAAGCCAGGGTTTGTCACCCCGGATTTCCAAGCCACCAAAACAAGGCCAAACCCCAGGCAAAAGTCTGGTGCTTTTGTTGCAACCACCCCTCTCAACACACCTGACTGCTGCCATTGGCTAGGTGGAAGTGGTATCCCTCATCCTAGAGGTCCCTGCTCCTCCCCAGCTGGCCTCCTGCCCTGCCATTCAACAGCCCCAAAGGCAGCTCTGCTCCTCCAAAAAGCCCTCTCCTCAGCCTTGCTTCACTTTTCATTCACCTGGGACTTCTTGTTGAAATTAAGGCTCGTTTCAACCATGCTTGGGATTATTCCTCATTCTTAGTGCATAGTCTCCTGTCCATGAGGTGTGGTCCTCATCAGTGGGTAGCTCCCTTTTGCACAAACATCGGTCTACGCCTCCTTGCAGTTTCTGTGTGTCTAAGACACTATTTCTGAAGAGATACTAAAATAGCCCACAATGAAGTAATCTTTGTTATTCTGGGACCAAAAAAACCCCAAACCCCACCTCTGTTTGGGTGTAGACCTCTGTACCAGCTGCCTGTTCCTGCCACAGGGTTTTGCCATCAAACATCTCTGCCCAGATCCCCCACCTCACCAGGGTCACTGATTGTCCCGGGTCACCTTCACAGCCCTTGGGCAGGGCTTGTCTCCTCACTCCTTCTCAGTGCTCTCCTACTTGCCAGTGGGTTAATGTGCCTGCCCATCTCTCCAGAGACACTGTTCGGTCGAGAAGTTAGGAGTGGCTGGATGCCTCCAGCCCCATGGCTCCCTGTGGTTCCCAGTGCCTGTTTCCCCCTTCCCCATCGTTCTCTGCTCTGGTGTGATCTAGTGAGCCATTAGCTTGCTTTCACCCCACATCACTTGCTCTATTGCCAGGCTTTCACCAGCTGCCTGGCAGTGCAGGGCAGTGCAGACCAGGGCCAGCCCTCCATCCTAAGTACCACAGGTGCTCTGTGGCACTGGGAGCTCGCCACAGGCAGGGCATCAGCATGGCCGCCCTCAAGCCCTGGTCCCAGCACTGGGCTGACTTGCCAAGCCAGCCATCCCCATTCCCACGTGATGCAATTAGTGGCTGATGTCAGCCGTGGGTCATTACTGATTTGCTGGCTCCCACACTGCACACAGACCCAGCCAAGCTGCTCCCTCTGGGCCTGATGCTTTCATCAGGCAGATCCTGCAACCCTGTCGCCCCGAGGTCTCTCTGGATGGCAATCAGGTTGGAAAGCTCCCTGGCTCTCGCCTTCAACATTTAGGATTGAAAAGCCCCTCTCACTGCCATTGTTGTCACCACTTTCAGTTCTGCTCCTTGGGCAATTCTCTGTGTCCCATATAAACCATTTGGACATATTTTTAGCAGGCATTTTTTCCTCAGCATGGTAAGCTTCTTCCTTTGCTGTGTTTATGAACAACTCATTGCTTCCCCTAGAGCAGCCTCGCATCCCCCTCCCACCCCAGCAGACTCTAAGTGCATCCAGACACTTGCACAAAGCAGCTCTGAGCTGTCCCCAGGGAAGGCATGGGACTTGCAGCCAGAGCCCGAGCAAACCCTCTACTGAGGGCCAGATCTCTGTATTGCAGCACAGGATTGCAGGAACTCCTCACTCAACTGTTTTAAATGGGTGAAACAGATTATTTTTCCTCCCCTCAAGGAAGAGCTGCAGCAGTCGAGCTGCAAGTACCCCCTGCCCCTTACCCTCCCTGCCAAACTTCAGCAAAGGGCTGGCAGCCTGTAGAGAAATAAAACTCCTGCTTTGAGCCCAGTGGTGCTATCAGCAGTGGGGAACTGGAATGGGTAATGGGAAGTGCCCAGCAACACATGCGCAACCTCTACCTACCTCACCTATTGCAGGCAGGAGGATCTCATGACTGGCTCTCGATGTGGCCATGCCCTCATGGACACCCAGCACTAGGTTTGCCTTTGGTTTTGCCTCCAGCATTATTGCCTCCTTCCTTCAGCATACACAGCCCATACGCCCAGGCTGTCCCAGGGAAGCCTGGCCATAACATCACGGAGAAGGAGGAGGTTGCAACTGGAGCAGAGATGTGGAGGAGCAGCCCCATCTCTGGGAGCAACCAAGTTTCTGCTGGGAAGGTAACAAATTAGGCCAGGGAACACAGCAGGAAACCTTCACCTCCTGGGGATGAGGTCTGCCTGTACCATCCTGCCTGCAGTGAGGGATTCCCAACAACATAAATTCACTTTCTTATTTTAAATCTGCGACAAATTGCTCTGCCTTTCCCCTCCTCACTGGGTCTTTATTACTTTTGCAGAGGAAACATTTCCTCTAAGGGACAGAATGATTCTCAAACCATTTGGTTGTTCCTTCAGCCTTTGCATCTGTTAGCATGAAACATATTGACAAAATGCAGAGTCTCTGTGTTAAGAGGCATTAGTTGTTAGCTTAAAAAAATAAGTTTTAAGTAGAATGAGTTAGAATGGGTTACACAGAGTTATCATACTCTGTGATTTAGTATGTTGTTTGTTCGGCTTTACTTGCTTAACATCAGTAGCTGAATCTGCTGAAGCCTTGAGACACAAGCTGTGAGCTTATACCTAGAGATATTTTCAGCTGGAACCAAGTTAATTCTCTTCATAATTTTCCTAGTAGCTGGCACAGTGCTGTGTTTTGTCTTTAGTATGAGAAGAGTATCGATAACACACTGATGCTGTGATTGTTGCTGAGTAATATTTATCCTAAGTATAGGGCTTTTTTTAGTTCCCCATACTCTTCCAGTGAGCAGGTGCACCAGAATTGCAAACCAGAAGACAAAAAGACTTCAGCTGTCAGCAGAAGCTGTGACTCCACAAGATGAGAACAGTAAATGGCCTGCCTGCACAGACATGGAGAAAGAACCCAGTAAGGTGTTAGAAGACCCTAGGCAAAAAAATCACCATTGGACCAAGAGGCACACAGAGAACACATGAGGGGCGGGTGCATGAGTCGTAAGGGTATAATTGCCTGGAAATTTCTTTGTTCAATGTCCCTCTCCAGAGACACACAGCTCAAGCTGACCTGCTGCTGTACCACTAAATTATTTATTTTTATAAAACCAATGCCTGGGACTCTGCTATGGGAAACCTAGGGTTGCACCTGAAGAAGAAGGAATGGCCCTGAGAGTGAGTATGTGGTGACTGAGGGGTCAAAAAGGGCACTTGTCAGCTCACTGGAGCTGCCCGCTGTGAAGGGGCCTGGTCCCAGCAGTTAATAGTTTCAGGTAGTGTGTGTGATTCCTTGAATGGTGTGAGAATATTCAGGCAGCAGCTTTTCCTTTGACATACTGCATATTTCCAAATCCAATGTAATTATCAGTTTATCTCCATGTTTCTGCCCCCATGACCTTCTAGGGAAGTTCAAATAGTGGTGTGAACCCCATCAGCATAGGGTTCTTTTAGGATGGATGGGAGACCCACTTGCAGCATTTGCACGGGCTTCACAGCACCCATCTTTATTCCACCTGCTGCCTGCTGGGGTCAGAGCCACCTCCTTCATCCCTGTTTCATTAGCCTCCAGGTCTCCTGTCTCCTGAAGACCTGAGAATAGCTCTAGCTAAAGGCAACTAGCCAGCCAGAAAAAACACCCTGGGTGAGCAGAGGACGGTTTTCACCATGCCAGCTCAGCTGCATCTCCAGGTCCAGGAATGCATGTGGGGACAGGAGACACAGCTGTTCAAAACCCTTGGTGCCACCTTGCACATGCCCTTGATTTCTGGGGATGCTCATCAGGTGCCAGATGCTCACTGGTCATTCCTCTCAAATGGGGAACATGTCCCCAGTTGCATCCAAATACTTAGGCTCGTCCCTGAGGAACAAACTCAATGGGAACCAAAAGGCACCAGCTTTGAGATGCTTTTTTATCCCTTGGGTTTGGCTGGCTCAGAAAGGGTCTGTGCTGTGCTGCAGTGAGGAGAGGGCACTGCTGAGCAGAGGGGATTGGGCTCATGGAAATGGACACCTTAAGGAAGCATTGCTGGCCTGGGGACCTGGTGGTCTTGCACGAGGCTGATGGTCCTGCCAGCCCCACTGGCACATTCTGCCCATGCCCCACCCCTCCCCATCCCTGTCACACTTACCCGGGTGGCCAGGCTCTCCTTGCAGTGCAGGCTGATTCCACACTCATCAGTGATCTCAGAGAGGTCTTCATCCTCAAACTCCTCAAGGCTGATGTCATGGATGAGCCTGGAGAGAATGGAGATGGCACGGTCACCCACTGTGCTGGTGGTAGGCAGGAGGGTGCAGGGCACTATGCTGCCTTTGGGCTGGGAGCAGCATTGCCACATCAGGAGAGGCTCTCCCAGTCTCTACTGGGAAGAAAGACTGGGAAGGCGGCTCCTTCCAGAGGTGGTAGGTCCATCCCTGTTGAGTGGCTGGGCTTGGCATGTTCCATGGCTGTGGGGAGGCAGGAGGAGTGTGCCCCAAACCAGTCCCTGCCTGACCAAAGACAGCAGGGACTTGCAGGGAGAGCATGGGACAGACAGCACAGCCAGCCCTATCCCAGGAGGTTCATTCTGCTCCCGCTGTCCCAGGGAGCCCCTGGGATTGTCCTAGCTGGGCACAGACACCCAATAAGGGAAAGGCCAGGGTTACAGGGAGTGGAAGGGTTGGGAGTCCTGACTGGGTACAGCTGCAGGATGGACCTTTCTGGGATAAGTGACCATGTCAAGACCCACAGAACTTGTAAGCACTGCAAACCTCTCAGCCATGGCACGACCAGCCCCTGAGCTGCAGCTGGGAGGGATGTCCCAGCGCAGGTGCCTGCAGTAAGAGAGGGCAGCAATTTCCCTCTGCACCAAAATCACTCCCTGGGGTGATTACGGGCATCCCTGTGAACACTAGTGCTGCTGAGCTGACCTGCATGGCTTCAGGGGTTCCTTAGGGCTGCCAACCCACAAGCTCTCTACACCCCTTCAAAGCATTTACAGAGATATCCTTTTATAGACTGAAAACATGCTGACCAACCCCAGGGAGACAGTGAGGTGCTCCTGACTTCTGTGCATTAAAACATTTCAAGATAGTGGTACCTCAATGCTCCTCTCACTTATTCATTACCACAGGGGTAAATAAAAGAGCCCAGCTCAAAGGTCCTTGGTCAACCAACTCAGACCCTTCAGTTTTGTCTGGAGTGGCCATGGGCACTGCTTTGCTTGCCACCATTTCCATTTGCTCCCAGCTTCTCTGGCTGGGAGATACTTAGGTGAAAGGGCTATGCCAAGCCCATCATCCCTCTCCAGCTTGGCCCTCAGCAGCAAGGAAGGAAGGAGAAGGGTATTTTGTGACCTGTAGAGCTCCCATCCTCACTCTAAGCATTGCTTGCCCACCCCGGGGGTCGCCCCGTGCTGGCACCAAGCCAGTGCCATGGACAGGTAACACCTCCCTTGTGCCAGAACCCTGGAGAGGGAAAAGAGCCGGAGAAGCCTGTGGAGGAAGCAGCATTTTCCCTCTGTTTTTGAGGACCCCACCAGTAGTGGTCTCCTGGGGTGAAGACAGCTGGGAACAACTGTGTCCATGGAGGCACCCCCTGCAAGATGCATCAGGAGTGCAAGGACACAGCCTTCAGCACAGGGTGGGGCAACTGGACCCCCCCTCACCCATGTCTTCCTGCTGCCCATGGGAGGGAGGGAACATGGAACAGGAGGCTCATGACAAGCCTTCAAAGCACAAATTGATTTCTTCTCTGGTTACACGGGTCACCCGGGTGGGATATCATCCATTGCTAATGCTCAGGGCCTCCACCCACCATGGTGTGGGAGCACAGTGGGCACTGCAGGGTCCCAGTAAGAGGCACAACATTGCCAAGGGGCTGGCAGGGGCTCCCTAGCTCTGCAGGAGCAGCATGAGGGGCTGGCAGTGCCCCCCACTCCGTGATGGGGACAGGCAGCCCTGTCCGTGCTCTCGAGTATGGGGAGACATTGCACAGGTCCCCAGCACTGGCCCTGCCTGCTGATGCTGGGGTGCAGCAGAATGTGGCCAGATACCTTTGCCGCTCTGGTGCCTGGCTGCCACACAGCTCCCTGCGCAGCCAGGAAAACTTTGGGCTCGACTGGATGCCAAGTTTGCTCCTGTCCTGTGGCCATCGCTTAGAGAGAAGAGCAATGTGCCAGGAGCAAGGGGCTGCCCCTCACCCCCTGCATGCCCGCGGGACAGCCCCCCCTCCCTTAGGCCCAGCCAGTCCCCTACCATTTCTCCCACTGATCTTCCAGCCAGCTCTCCTCCTCGGTGCTTGACTCCATTTTCAAGGGCAGCTGCATTGAGGAGGACCCCTCCCTTCACTGGGGGACACAATCCTTCCCCAAAAAAACCCCCAGGCCTGCTGTGAGGAGCAGTGAGGGAGATGACAGCTGAGCCCTGGGTGCCAAGTGCCTCTCTGCCTGACCCGTCGCAGTCTGTGGCTGCCAGCGCTGCTCTGTAAGCTCACTGCGCAACCTGGGGAAGCTCATTAAAAATAGATGGAATCAGCTGTCCTGGAGGGGGAAAAAAAAAATAACCTCCCCAGCTGAGCCAGCGCCAAGTCCCTGCACTCTGCTGGGGATGCTGACTGCCGCTGACTGCCTCTGCCTGCCAGCCAGCCAGCCTGGCTCCTGCTCCTGCTCCAGCACTCGGTCCCCAGCACCTACAATGGGCACAGGGGATCTGCTTACCCCATCACAGACACCTGCACCACCCACCTCCTCCTGCCCTTGCAGCATTGCTGCCCCAGCCAGCAGTGGGAGACAGGAGTGTTTTGTCTGGCTTCTCAAAAGGTAGAGTGAGGCCACTCACGGATGCAAAGGCCAGAAAGTTTCCAGCACAGTGGGACCAGCGTCATGGCCAGCTGCACTTCCGAGCTGAGGGAAGCGAGAGGAGCACCTTTGCTGAGGGGCAAACCCAGACACCGCAGAGCAGTGCTGACAGCACTGTCCCTTCCCTGTCTGCCCCCACCTAACCATCTGCCTCAGGCAGAACCATCCCTGAGCTTCCCCAACCTCTAACCCACATTGACAGCCAGTGAAATACCTGGTGAGCTGCTCTGACAGCTCCCAACTCTCTTCCGCTGCTGAAGGATATAGGGGTTGTAAGTGTGTAAGACCCTTCCAGAAGAGTTATGACGAGAAGATGAGAGTTCAATTCACTTAAGAAGGCATTCCTGCCTAGAAAGAGGCATCTTTCCCAGAAATAGTTTTAGATGTTTTCTCCTCCTGCATTCCAGAGAAGCTCACTCCGCATGTAGAAGAGAAGTTCTTGCAGACAAGTCTGAAGGCCCCACAGCTTGGGGGCCAGGGACAATAAAAGCCTGAGAAGAAGAGGGAGTGTGTTTTTCTTAGGTCCTGTGCTGTTTGTACCGAGATGTTAAGTGTTCTTGACTTTTGGAAATAAATTCTCTTAAATCCTGTCTGGTATTTTGGGGGTACATGCATGCATTTAACCCTTGCAGGGGTCTTTCCCAGGAGAGGCTGTCAGGTGTTGCTGCCAAACTGTTGACACAGTGGCCTCAGATAATCCTCCATAACCCCCACACCTCTCAGACCCACTTGCTGCCCAGCAGCATGTTGCAGACCATGAGCTCTCCACCATGAGTGGAGAGCTGTTCACTCCTTACCCCATCGAGATGGAGTCAAAGCTCTAGGAGAGGCACCCACTGTGATTTCGAGATTTGGATAGGGCACACCCTCTCCACCGGCTGCACATACCCCACTCGGACACATAGGGGGGAGGCACCCCACTGCCACCCATCACAGCACTGCTCTCCTGCCTCTCACCGCCACCCACTCCAGAAGCTTCAAGTGATGGGTGCATCTCCCACCAGCTGCCTGGGACCTGGCTTCACTCCTGGCCAGATCAAGGGGAGTGATGTCCACAGGAGCCCAGCTCACAGGGTGGCCTGGAGTGCTCTGCTGAGCTAACCTGTTGCTAGCTCTTTCCCCACCAGTGCCATGCCACAGGTGAATGTCACTCCTGATACTGTGTTCACTGTCTCTCAGCCCCACAGGAACAGCACCCATGACTCCATCTTCCCTATCAGCTTTGCCTGGAGGGACCTCATCTGCTTGAAATCTCATCACTTAATGCAATGAACAAAGAAATGTCTTATCTCTATATTACTTTCACCCCTTGCTCCTCTCACATGGGTGCTCCAGGACTTCCTAGGAGATACAAGGAAGGCTCTCCATTACACGCCCCTCCTCCCTGTGCTGGAAATACCCTGCCTTTCTCTCTTGCTTCTCAAAGAGGCTAAAAATACCAGCAAAATTTAACAGCTCTGACTCCTCAGCTCCATCACTGGTAGTAAAATTCTGAGCAGGACCTACATGTGTATTTTGGCCAACTTCCCTCACCAGCAGCCATGGAATCACAGGTATATGGGAGGTTATCCCCATCTATGGAGGTGGAAGAGCCTTGACCCTGCAGAGGTTATGGGTGCTTTCCTGAAGCATGTGCTGAGAGGATGGAGCCCTTCTGGATGCATGAGAACTGATAAACTCAGGATACCTGGGAACTGTGAGCAAGAGTGCACACATGGGTACATGAGCAGAAGCAAGCATTACCTGCCCGTGGCAGGAGCAGCTTGATCACAGTGCTAATAACAGCCTTATAATCAAGCCTGGTTGCTGTACCTCCCTTGACTCTGTGCCTTGACAGGGAAAAGAGGACTTAGAATACTGCCTCCCCACCCCACTGCTGTTGCATGGGATTTCTCACACGGGGATTTGGCCAGGGCAACATGACATGATGGAGCTGGGGGCTCCAAAAAACCTGGCTACCTGTGCTGTGCTCTGATAGTCTGCTGTCAGGCAGCACTGTGTGGAAGTCCTGTAACCAGCACCAATGGGAAAAATAGTACTATCCTACTTTTGGATGGCCCCGTGTTTTTCCTTCCATCACAAAAACCACAGAGACTCTTACTCAAACCAAGGAGAGGCACCTCTCTCTCTCCATCAGGAGAAGGCAGCCCTTTTGTCTCCCCTCACAAGACAACAGGTAGGCCCCTTCTGATGCCCAGCTCATTCATTGCCTCCAAACAGGCTCTTTTGACAGCTCCAGATGAGCATGTCCGACACATAAAACAAACCATAGTGCTAGGATTGATTTTTGCCTCAGCCCGAAGGTGCTTCTTTGAAATTCCCAAGGAGATGAACTTCCCCCAGAGACCTCCTCACTTCCAAAGGGCTATGATTTCCCACGGGGCTCCCTGAGGAGCGGGGTAGTTCCCACTCTCGCCAGATCTATGCAAATAACTCCCTAAGGGCTTCTTTCCCCTGGAGCCTTCCTATCCAGCAGCTAAGTGGATGCCCTTTGCTTTTTTCAGGGAAACCTAAAGAAGACAGAGGAGATCAGTCCCTGACCTCTTCCAGCTACATCAGAGCCACACTCTTGGAGGCAGTGGGGCAGGCAGCATTGTGAGCGCTGTGGGGCCCTGCATCCAGCTGCACCCCACTTGTGCAAGTCCTCCCTGCCCCTCTTATGGTGGGTAGAGGGACCCCCAATCCCAGAGAGCCCCCAGAGCTCCTCACAGGAAAGCCTGGCCCAAAGCACTGGCAAAGCTTAGTGGCAGGGCAAGGAGTTGCAAACTGGTGTTCTAGAGAAAGACATTGAGAAGCTCCAATGGACACAGCCCCCACTGCAAGGCTTTGTGAGGCTTAAGGACAACAAGGAGACTGGATAAGAGTAACTTCTTTTTGCAGTCTTCTAAAATGCTGTTGTTCTTGTCACAGTGAGTGGCCCCCTCTGGAGGTCTTCCTGGTTAAAGGAGGACTCACCTCACTATCGTTCTCCTCCCAATTCTTCTCAGATAACACCAAACCATCCCTGGCAATGAAGACCTGCCAGCCCACCATGCCTCTCCTCTTCAGAGCTTCAGACCATCAGGCTGCTTGCTGGCCCAGATCAAGTCCTCTCTCAATTCAAGCCAACCGATCACCTAATGCTTGTGCCAGTACGTCACCGCTCAGGGAACTGAGAGAGCAGATGTAGGTACCAGAGGGCAGAAATCTGAAACACCTTTCCTGCAGGCAGCAAGCAGGGGTAGAGGGCAGGGCTCACTCAGGACCTCACTGCCAGCCACAGTCTGGGCCTTCACCCTCAATCGCACTCATTGTTTCTGGGTCCAGCTCATCTGGGGGGGACAGCCCCTCGCTAAGCCCTGCTGCAGGGATGCAGGACCTGGGACAGGCACAACCCAAGCTGTGACATGTAAATGTTGCTTGTAAATGTTTCACTAGCGTGGCTCCCTTCTCACACAACACTCCCTGCCACAACATCGCCTCTGATCTGCCAGACCTTGCCCCAGGCTCAGAGACATCGCTGCATCTTCTTCCACTTCAAGTCTCACACCCCGAACTCTGTGCCCAGAGAAGATTTTGCACTCCTGCCTTGATTCCCCAGTTTTCCACCCAGGTGCACAGCCTCCTTCATGGAGGTCAGTTCTTCCCTAGGGCAGGCTGGCAGCACACTGGGCTCCTTTTTCAAAGGTCTGAGGCACAGCAAGTAGCAGCACCTTGTTCTCCCTCCCAGGGCATCGCTGGTTGCTGGGGAGTGGGAGGGTGCCCAGGGTACAGCCAGTACATCCAGGACAGTGCCAGGTAGTAGGCCCAGCACTGCTTGGCAGCTCAGCCTTCAGCCCCCAGCTCAGTGGCCAAGCCCCTTCTCCAGGGTGGATGTTTCCAGAGGCAGCATTTAATAGCTGGGTTTGCAGGGTATACCAGCCATATTGCAACAGCTCTCGCAGGCAGCGCTGCAATAGGAGGCAGCTGCCAAAGCCCCGGAGCCATTAGTAAAGGGGGTCTGGGAGCAGAGCCCTGCAAGGGTAAATTGCCTGAACACCTGCACCTGCCTGCTTCCTCGCAGGGTCCCATGGAGCCCCCAGCTTCAGGGGCTGGGCCTGCCAGAGGTAGCTTAGCTGTGGCCCCAAGTGTGGACCAGCCTCTCCTTTCCTCCCCAGAATCTCAGCACACAAAGCTGCCAGTACCAGTCTCCCCTTCTCAGCAGGCTCCCTGACAGCTCGCCCACAGCACCCCTGGGTGGCAGAGGCAAGCAGAGAGCAATGGCTGATGATGGCATGGCTGTCAGGAGCAGGGAGCCTCCCCCGATGGCAAGCGAACCACGCCAGGCACTGCACCTGCGGGCAAAAGCAGAGCTCCCTCGCCCGCCCAGCACATCCCTGCCCCCAAGCTGCCCTTGGAAGGCACCAGAGGCTTGAAAGCCCCCAGCCATCCCTGGCCTGGCCCATGCCATTGGAAGTCCCCGTGACAAGCCTCGTTGGGTTTCAGAGGAGACACAGTCCCCTGCATCCCAAATCGATGGGAACACTTGGTATTGCTAAGAGGATCAATTCTGGCACTCTCCCACCGTCTCACTTGGAGTTCCTGTTTCACAGGGGTGGGAAGGAAGCAGGAGCATCTGGGATTTCCAGGAAAGGGCTAGAAAACGGCTTTCCTGGGGGTGGGGAGAGAGATGAAGAGGTGTTTGAAGAGGACATAAGACAGGTAAGGGGGCCGGGGGGTAGAGTGTGGAGGGGGACACGAGGCCAAGCAGGGAGCTGGGGAGCTGCAGTGATGCATGTATGGGGTGAGGGCCAACATGGCTTAGGTGGGTGGGCTAAGCAGCCATGGGGGTGCTGGGGTGATGTCTGCGATGGGGGTTCAGCGGTGGCTGGGGTGGGGAAAAGAAGGGATGGTTGGGGTGGGGGGTCGAAGGGATGCTCGGGGAGGGGGTAGAAGCGCTGGAGGAGGCGGGGGCCCGGCGCGGCGATGCGGGCGGGGGGGCTGCAGCAGATGGGGAGCGCTGCCCCGGGCAGGGGGCAGGGGCATCCCGGGGGGGTCTGGGGTGGGGAGGGCGGCCGGTACCTGAAATTGGGGGGCGAGGCGAGGTGCAGCCCCAGGAAGGGGGAGGAGGCGGGCGGGGATGCGGCTCCTTTCTCTCGCTCCGCCATTCTGTGGCTCTCTCCATGCAGGCGGAGGGCGGGCAGGAGGGAGGGAGGCAGGAAAGGAGGCAGGGAAGGAAGGATGGAGGGAGGGGGATGCTGGTGGTGCCGGCGGGGAGGGACATACCTGCCGCCGGGGCGGAGGGAGCGGAGGGTGTGGCCCGGAGGCTCCATCCTGCGGCCCTCGGCGGCAGCTGCAGGACAGATGCGGCACAGCTGGAAGGGACACCTCGCACTCCCACCCGAGCCGCTCCGCCTGGGCCTTGGGAAACGCCGGCCCCGGCGGGGCAGATGTGCCCACAGCTGGACCGGCCCCGAAGGATGTACCCGCAGCTGGAAGCAGCGCCCCCACGGACAGATACGCCGCAGGTGGTGGTGGCAGCCCCAGAGCCCCTGGTGCGGGAGGCAGCCGGGGTCTCCCCCAGGCCTGGAGAAGCAACTCCAGGAGTGGGGCGACTCACCAAGCGGGCAGGGAGCAGCCCAGGGTGAGGGGCTGGACACAGAGGTCCACTTGCAAGGGGGCTCCTCATCAGCGGGGACACGTCTGGAGGCAGCAGGAGCAGCTTCTAAAACCAGGCTGTGCTTTCCCCCCATGGCAGGTTTACAGTACCCGGGTAGTAACAGGTCTGGCAGCACAAATCCTGTCCCTGTTGAATCTAGCCAGGGTTGCAAGCACCGCCAAGGGAATTAAAAAAGCGGCATACACACACTTTCCACAGGCACAAGGAGGGGAAAAAATGCAACTCAAGGTTGCAAGTCTCTCTTCAGAAGGGGCAAACCCACTCTGCTGTGTCCCAGGGAGCATCTTATCTTGAGTGAGTGCTCATTGCTTCTACCCTTCCTCACCAGCCTGAGCAAGTTTCTCTCTCCTGCCTCTCCTCCCCATGCATTGCAGGCTACCTCAGAAAACTGTCCAGGTTGTGCTATGCACAGAAGGGGATAGCATCAGTTTTTTTAGTCCCAAGGTTACTTCTGTACCTGAACAGAACTCTTCCTATTCTCTGCCTGCCCATTCTGCTCCCATTTACTGTCTGTGACAGTCCTGGACAGCATGGGTGGCACTGCTTTAGCAGTTCAAACTTTAAAGATACAGCCAGTCCCCTCAGTGTTTCTCAAACCACAGAGCTGACTGCCATTGAGACAATGGTATTAGTTCTTGGCCAAGACCCAGGATGCCAGCTGCTCCTCCAGAGAAGAACAAGCAGAGCCCTCCGAGGCATACAGTCCTGCTCTCTCTCTCAGGAATCTTGGTCTCCTGCCAAACTGGAAAGAGATGTTACTCCTGGGCCAGTGTGGAGACAAACACAAGCCCACAGGAGTACCATGTGCAGGTACCCCTGGGGCAGCCTCCTGAGGGGTGTCTCCTTCACCATTTGGATGCACAGAGTGGTGCTGGACCCAAGAGACTCACCAGCATTCATTCAGGGAGTTTCAGGGGACCGTTGACATTGTTCCATCTCAAAGCATAAACCCCACCTACCAAAATGATTCTTCTGCAGCATGGCTATCATTTGGCCTCTGACCTGGGGCAGAAGGTGAGGGTGCTGCCTTGTCCCACAGCCAGATCACCACCAGCATATCTCACCTTTTTGGACACCAAGCACCAAAAGCTCACCCCTTAGGTCACCAGGCCTTTCATCCCAGCCCTGGCTCAGGCTGGCCTGGCAGGAGACCCACTTTGGCCTTTCTGGCTGCACTACTGTTGGTCATATCTGTTCCTTAGATGCACAGTAGAGCCCAAGGCCTCTGGGAGACTGCATGCACATCTCCTGCAAAATAAGACTATGCTTCCATCCTAGCCAGCATCTCTGACAAGGCATCTGCTGACTTTTTTTGTTGCCTTCAATTTGTCCAACTGATCATCAGGTTCACTTCAGACCAACTTTTGTAAGCCCTAAATGAAACCTGAGGAAAGGTTATGTGCTGAGAGAAGTTTTCCTGCTCCTCTCCTCCAGCTGAACTATCTGATCCCCCACTAGATGCAGCTGTGATACCAGACCAGCACTCCACTCTTTGATCAGCCATCCTTCTTACTGCTCTTTCTCCCTCTGTCACAATGATCACATCTCTTGACCCCCATCTCTTCATATCCAGGTGTGTTTTCTACTTTCAGACCTTTCAGCCAGCCACTCCTGAAGCCACTCCAGCTCCTTCCTTGTGCAGACAGAAGACACATGGGGGAAGGACATTTTCTCAAGCACCAGCACATGGGGCAGACAGTCAGTCTCTGCTAGAAATCCAAGGTTAGCCATTTTCAACCCTGAGGAACATCACCGCCATTCCTTTGACAGGGAAAACAGATATTCTGGCCAGCACAGAGAAGGAGCCTCAAACCCAACCTCTCCAGGTTTAATTTATATTATTACAATCTGCATAGAGAAAGCTGGACTGAGTTTCCTGTCATCCTGGCTCCTCATCTTCTAAGACATAAGCTGCTGTTTTCAAAAAGGTTTTTGTCATGAGCAGGCCACTCCAAGCACTTCAGTAAGTATTACTTTTTCAAGACCACAAGGTCCTCACTGAAAATGAGAACAATTCAGCAATACCATGAGCCTTGACTGCACACCCCCTCAGTTAACCAATGCACTGTACACATTGCCCACCTCGTAGACCAGACATGCCCCAGTACCTCCTGTTGAGAGGTATTAGTTGTTCAGCTTAAGTAAGAGAGCGTGTGAGGGGTGGGTGAGTGAGTCATAAGGATATAATTGTCCAGGTATTTTTTTGTTTGGGATCCCTCCCCACAGGCACCCAGCTCGAGCTGACCTGCTGCTGTACCATTGCATTAAATTATTTTTTATAAATCTGACACCTGAGACTCTGCTAGAAGAAATGTAAGTTTGAGCCTGAAGGAGGAATTGGCCTGAGAATGGGGGGTGTGTGCGCATTAGCAAGGGGTCCAAAAGTGCACCTGTCAGCTCACCAGAGCTGCCCGCTGCAAAGGCCCCTGGTCCAAGCAGTTAAAAGCCTCAGGTGGTACGTGTGCGATTCCCCGAATGGTGTGAGAATGCTCAGGCAGCAGCTTCTCCAGTAGCACTCTGTGAAACACCCTAATCTGCATCTTCTAACATGTTTTTTGTTTCAAACTAGCTAAGCAAAGAGACACCAAATTTTAAATGTTTATTTACACAGAATTAAAACTGTGTCTTGGTTTGGTTAGCTTGTTTGCAATAATTGCTTAGCTGGTGTTCAGATTGGTGCTATCTGAACATGCCCAATTGTGAGGCACAGGCACTGCTGTCCTGCATCAGCCCCACTGCTGAACGTGGACAGGGAACTGCATGGCTACATGCACTTCCTGAATCTTGCTGGGTACTAGGAAAGAAATGTACCTCGTTTAATTCTCCCAAGATAAAGAAAGGCTCCAGTAACTGGCTCTACACAGGAGCACCGAGGATGGCATAACACACAAGAACTTGACTTCAGCTGCATCCTAGCTAGTTACTAGACTACCAAGTCTGATGTATTTAATATCAGTTCATGACTTAGCTGGAGAACAGCAACAGCCAAGGCTCAGTCACTGAAGGAGACCCATCTTGAACAACTGTTCATAGCTCTATAGGACTCCTCTGCCCCAGTGTCCAACCTCAGTTGAAAAGAGCCTTCATGCCACCCTGGGGAGCACCCCAAAAGCCACTACTCTCACAGCATCAAAAGCCAACTGCTCCCTCTACCCAAGGAATGAGCTCACACTACACCTGCATTGGGGGTGCCTACTTCAGGTCACATATTGCCACCTAGCCCTGAGACAAAGGAAACAGTCATTATCCCAGGAAACAAAGTGCCGCCAATCTGGCATCCATTTCATGCTGCTTCCTTTGTGTCAGCCTCCAGCAGTCCTCTGCTGCTTCCTGAAACAAAGATGGTATCTTCACTAATGGTTACTGATGGCTTTTTCTTTCCCCATGAATTGGTCAAGTTCTTTTGAACTCAGTCAAACTGTTAGCACCCATAACTAAGGAAGAACTTGCCACAAAAACTAAGGAAGGTGCAGCTGTGCTCATTCTACCATCTTGTACTTTAACCAAACATGCCCAATTCTAAATATTACTGAAAACAGTGAACAATCATCCCCTACTCATCACAGTTTCACCTACCTTTATCATTTCAGCTGAGAAAAGATGCCAGAGTGGATGAATCCGAGCCTACATAACAGGTTTCTTGCAGGAAGTTTTTCCCTTATCTTTGGCTGGCCTGGTGTGTCTGTGTCCTTCCCAGTGCTACTATCCAAGGTGCAGCTCTTCCAAATGCCACCATCCATATTCCAGGTGCTGACAGGAACCTTGCATATGTGATTTCCTCCTCCCCGACAAAGCCTTCTAAGAGATCACTTAGGAGATGCGGCCTCCCCTTCCTTTGACTCCTTACCCCACAGATCCAGCCCCAAAAATGCCACTTACCAAGCGAAATAATTTGGATGACAGGAAAGAGGGGGTTAAAGACATTTATAAAAAGTTGTATTTACAGACCATTGCCTAAGCATGAAACTCTCCAAATGACAAAAGTCACAATTTCTGTAACCTAAGTGTACAAAGTTCATGTCTTTCCCCTTTCTTCTCTCTGCAGCAGAAGATGAGGGTGGGGGAGTATCTCTTTTTCTTTATACCTTTCTACTCCCAAGACAGTGGGAGTAATATCTGGGTCAGACTGAAAGGGACAAAACCTGCTGATGACAGGGCTATCCACCAGGCAGGCTATGAATAGTAGTCTAGAATAAAGTAAGGTTAGGAAAAGTGACTCTTTGTTTACTTGTTCAGTCTGCCCAGTGGATTCCCTTGGGAAAAAGAATACAGGGTCAATGCCTCAGGGAGTGGGAAGGAAAGGTTATTCAGCTATTCAATAAATTTACTCACAGATTCAATTCAACCATTTCAGGTTTCTCAGATACATTTGAGTCAGTTTCAATTCACAGCCCTATCGCTCTGGGTTCAAACATGGGCTTCAAAACTGAATCTGATTATCCCAGTCAGAATGGGAGACAAATCCTATACTCCCCAAGCTGGTAGTTGCATAAGCTCACATATAGCCCCACACTATCTGTG